GACCGGGAAAATCAGGAACCATGCGTGAATTTTTACCGCCTTGAAAAATCCAGGAAATATGTGTGAAAATAGTTTTATTTGAAGATTTGCCGTGAATTTCCGTGAACTATTATAACTATATTGGTTTGTTTACAAGGAATTTTATAGTTCTAAAAATTTTAGCCAATTTATCCAAAAATTTGTATATTGAATGTATATTTACGGAAGATTCAGATTAGAAATTAACCAGATTCGAGAATCGAATCTCAGGTCCGCCGACAGAATACGCCGACTCGCCGCCAGCTCTATAATAACGTGATGTGTGTAGCAGGGTAGCAGCAGTGTCGATCTACGCATAGCTGGAACAAAGCCAAACTCGGTCTCAAAACTCAAGGTCATGGCTTGAATTACGTCCTAGTCGAATATTAATTGTATTTTTCACCACACTATGATGTTTTTAGCTGTTTTAAATTTGTTAATTGGTGGCTGAAAGTTAAGTTTTGCTGGCCATGCCAGCTGTCATCGTATTTGGCGACCGAGCAGGTTTTTCCATCCATAGGGCCGCAAAATCAGCTGTCCACTTACTTTCTTAAAACATAAATGCATATTAAATACACAATCAGTATCTGTCACCGCTGCCTATCAACTATTTATTATTATTTTTGCTGATTCCTCAAATTATTTCTTTACATAACCTTAAAGATGTAGTTGTGTTGACCATCAGTGTGCATTTTTATTGTGGTGAATAGTGGTAATAGGGTATAATGTGGTGAAAAATAGCGTTTGTACCACAGACCGAAATGGTTTTGCAGCTCTCGATCGTTTTAAAAACTATTAGTCCAGGAGCTGAGGGGGGTTGAGCATGCATGACAGTAGTACGCAATGTTATTGCTGATTATTGTAATATGGACTGTGGTGATCAAAATTACGTATGTCGCCTATTTCAAAAGTGGTCGATAAGGTGGGGGGGAGGGGGCAAACATGGCGGTTTGCGCTATGCATTAAAACGCTGATATTTCAAAAGCGGTAAAAGATAGAATATCGGTTAAAACGTCATTGTAATTCTAAAAATGTGGACTACAATAATGGTTATTGAGTCCGAGGTCGTATCTCTATAAATAAACAAGTTATTGTATAAAATATGTAAAAATGGACATTTTGTGTAGTTTTTTTTACCGAAAGTAGAATTAATTTGTGAGTGTCGCAAAGAAGTAATATCAAATATCTTTGCTGATAGTTGTAATATGGACTGTGGTGATAAAAAATAAGCATGTCGCCTACTTTTCAGGTGGTCGAGAACTTGTGGGAAGGGGGGCAAAGATGGCGGAACGCGCTATGCATTGAATCGACTGTAGCTCGATAACGGTACGAGATAGGACATCGGTTAAAATGTAGTTTTAATCCAAAAAATATGGCCAATAGAAAAGATTATTGGGTAAAAAGTTGTATCTTAACTAATAAAAAAGTTATAATAATAATAAGTTTAACAAAATCTACATTATACAGCGATTTTCTTCAAAAATCATATGAATTGTTGATAAAAAATAGTGTAATTACTTAATGACTCGGCTATATATTAACTAGATGCATTTTCTTATAAGAAAAAATATATTATTACGAATACATATGGTTTAAAATGTAAAAACGCCTTGGGGTTCGTCCGAAAGGTTGCGTCATAATTGCTGCGCAGTACTGCTGATATCGGCACAACTGTTAATCCCCAAAAGTTCATTGCCTTCCAACTCAGTAATATCGGGGTTGTAAAAGTATTTGTACAGTTTAAGACTACTGACATTTATTGTGTTTTATTTATACAAATAACATTTTTTTATAACTTTTAATAGTTAATTAAATATTTTAAATTTCAATACATTTTATTTTAAGTTGCTTACGTTTTTTTTAAATTGTGTGTGGCTGGTTTTTATGTACGTTTGTTCTTAGTGACTAGTGGATCAGGCAATTTTAAAGTAAAATTTCACCAACTTACAAAAGTTAGGTACCTATTTCAATTCAACAAATAATATGAACAACCAGTGTAATTGTTATGGACAGAATGAAGAGATTTACCGTATTTTTTATTATAAGGTATTTACTTTTGTAGTTATGTTTTCTATTTCATATAACTGTATTTAATAAGAATCTGTAACATAATCATATTGTAATAACCTATAACATTATAATAAAAGTTGGATTTATAGTGGTAATCTGTATTATGCATTTGATTGCGGCGAAACCCCAAGTATTATACGTAGTTTGGAGGCCGTGTTTTACATTTTAAACCATATGTATTCGTAATAATATTTTTTTTCTTATAAGAAAATGCCTCTAGTTAATATTTAGCCGAGTAATTAAGTAATTACACTATTTTTTATCAACAATTCATATGATTTTTGAAGAAAATAGCTGTATAATGTATATTTTGTTAAACTTATTATTGTTATAACTTTTTTATTAGTTAAGATACAACTTTTTACCCAACAACCTTTTCTATTGGCCATATTTTTTGGATTAAAACTACGTTTTAACCGATGTCCTATCTCGTACCGTTATCGAGCTACAGTCGTTTCAATGCATAGCGCGTTCCGCCATCTTTGCCCCCCTCCCCACAAGTTCTCGACCACCTGAAAAGTAGGCGACATGCGTATTTTTTATCACCACAGTCCATATTACAACTATCAGCAAAGATATTTGATATTACTTCTTTGCGACACTCACAAATTAATTCTACTTTCGGTAAAAAAACTACACGAAATGTCCCTTTTTTACATATTTTATACAATAACTTGTTTATTTATAGAGATACAACCTCGGACTCAATAACCATTATTGTAGTCCACATTTTTAGAATTACAATGACGTTTTAACCGATGTTCTATCTTTTACCATTTTTGAAATATCAGCGTTTTAACGCATAGCGCAAACCGCCATGTTTGCCCCCTCCCCCCCACCTTATCGACCACTTTTGAAATAGGTGACATACGTAATTTTGATCACCACAGTCCATATTACAATAATCAGCAATAACATTGCGTACTACTTTCGTGCATGCTCAACCCCCCTCAGCTCCTGGACTATATCTCAAGCCGGCAAAACCTCATTTTCGGCCCTAGGTACGAAATATACTATTAAATAGGCCGATAACAGAATTTCTCGATTCTATACCAGTTCTGAAATATTACTCACAATTCTTGATATCGATTAATGTAAAAACTTATATTTTTAAGGAAGTTGCCGTGGTCAATGTTTCATTTAATTTCATTTCAAACAATCTTTATTCTTTTAGTACATACAGTAGACTACATTGAACAGTGTCAAAAAGTGATTCTTTATTATAACTTTAAACTGTTTTCTAACTCTTTTCTACCATTTTTTACCATAAAAAGAAGGTAAGGCCTATTTATACTATTACAATAGAGATTCTCAACAAAACAAATAACAATCATAAACAAATTAAGAAAGGAGTAAAATAATCTAAACATCCAAAAGCCCTTCAAGTCCCAGAAGGTTTTGAATTAAACTCTGGGTCAAGAAATTCTTGTATATTATACAGGGTGACAAAAAAGTCTGGAAACGGTTTGCTATCTTTTTAACTAAACTTGTTAGAAAATTAAAACCTTTCACATCAACTTATATGTATGAAACCTACTTTTTGCAAGCATTACCATTTTTGTACCTTCACCAGGGGACGGCCCATGAGGAGTAGGTACATAATCTTTAATGTAAGCATAGGTTGATATACACACCATTTTAAAGGTCTAGTCAAGTGGAGTTCATTACCAGAAACCGCGTCAAAAAAGGTTCATCCGTTACAAAATGGTGGCAGTCCAAAGTTCTTGCGGAATATACCTGCACAGGCCTTAGTAATGGTAAATACTCGTAGTCAACATTAGCCGGGAAATCTGAAACCCGGTTAAATTTGTTTTGAAGATTGAATAAACTTAGTCTATGAGCAAGTTGACTTTAAAATACAATTTCAGCTATCGAGCTAATGTTTAATACGGGTATTTACCAATACTAAGCCCTGTGCAGGTATGTTCCACAAGAACTTTGAACAGCCGCCATTTTGTAATGGATGAACCTTTTGAGACGCGGTTTCCGTCAATGAACTCCACTTGACTAACCCTTTAAAATGATATGCATATCAACCTATGCTTACATTAAAGATTATGTACCTACTCCTCATGGGCCGTCCCCTGGTGAAGGTACAAAAATGGTAATGCTTGCAAAAAGTAGGTTTCATACATATAAGTTGATGTGAAAGGTTTTAATTTTCTAACAAGTTTAGTTAAAAAGATAGCAAACCGTTTCCAGACTTTTTTGTCACCCTGTATAATATACAAGAATTTCTTGACCCAGAGTTTAATTCAAAACCTTCTGGGACTTGAAGGGCTTTTGGATATAGTGATTAAAAAAACATTCACACCTAATTCTTTAGTTTCAAATCTTTATTTCAGAGTACTGATATACTTGAACCACATACATTATATACAGGCCTATTAGAAATGTTTGAAAATAAAATGGGGGGAGAACAATTTTATTACCTCTTTCTTTTTCTTTTGTGTGTAAATCAGTGGCGTATCCAAAAATCAATTTTTAATAATTTTTTTTTCAAATCTACATCAGTAACGTCCACTTCCTGGATAACCTCTTTCCTAAATACAGAATTAATATCTTTTTAACATTACATTTTTTTAATTTGATGATTAGTATACGATTTGTTATGCTATGGTGGTAATAAATGTGTAAAACTCATTCAAATTGGGCAGTTTTAAGTTGTAACTTACATAACATGTTCCTTGATTAATCTTAACTTTTCCGCCATGCCCCCGGTTTGGATCCCCCTCAAAACAGAATCCTGGCTACGCCACTGGTGTAAATGTTAAAACGTGTCTCATTTATAGACTGAAGATAAAAATATGCCTACTCGAAGTTAATACATTAATTATGTTCCATAGTAACATGGAGAAATAATCATTTACGTGTGGAAACATGAGTGAAAAGTCTTTATATTTTCTGTTTAGGTTGCATGTGGTCGATTTGCGGTATACATGATCAAGGATGGAGGGAGAGAGATATTTTCGGGAAGATTCGCTACATGAATTATGAGGGTTGCAAAAGGAAGTTTGACGTAGCCGCTTTTGTAGCGAGGTACGGAGGAAAAGTCCACAAGTATGTGAAGAAATAAACGAGCAATCTCAAGTACAAACTTTGTGTTTCAGTATTATTGATTTGTTAAACTTTCTTGTTAGATTTAGAAATGTTTTATACAACGTTGTTTTTCCTTAGTGTAGCACTTTATTGTTTCATGCATTTGAACAAATATTGAAGGTGAAATTTGAAGAAGGAAAATTGAACTCTAAGTATGCAAATGTAAATTGTGTGTCCTAAAACATGTGCAAAAAGTACACAAAAAATAAACAATTTTGTTACAACATAGGAATATCATCAGGACAGGAAGTAATGGTTTAGTGCCTTCATCACTTCATTCTATTTGAAGATTTATGAGTAGTTTATTCATTATTAAATATAGAGCCATTATTAAATATGCTTCTAACATTGATCACAACTCACAAACTATGCACTTGTTTTAATGTAAAATATCCAATAGTTGCTTTAATATTAATAGCTTAACAATTTGTTCAGTTTCCAATAGAGTAAAATCTAACAAATTGTTTTTACTACAAATATTTTTTAGAAAATACTTCATGATAGTTTACTACAAACTTAAGTCCTGTTTAAATACTCGTTTGTTTTACACTTGAAAGTGTTCATAAGCTGTCGACTTAGTTATTGTCAATCATTACACTCAGGGAATCGTGTTTGTATAACATGTAAAATGTATTTAATAATTTATTTTTATGTCACAATATAACTGCTCATTAAGTAAATAAGGTTGTATTTTTTTACTTAGATATAACATTTTTGCTACTGTTAGTTTACATTAGATCTCATCAAGTTTTTTCAGTATGGATTATAACTACGTGTATATTGTAAAAATATTCCTCACTGATCTAATAAATGCATAACCATAGTTTACTTACAATACAATTTGATACAATTTTTCAGTTGCATACAAGAAAAATGTTAAATTTGAAGTAGCTCATTGTATAACTACAATGTGTTATCCTTTCTTTAATCCGTAATAGTCAACACAAAGCTAAAATAAATTTGATTTCCAATACAACAAAAATATTGTAAAAGAAATTAGGGACTGTGTAAAGTTTTTTTTTAAGTCTTTCCGTGGTAATTCTGTTTATCTTATTTTATTTTATCTTATGTGTATTTTTGACTATTTCAAACTCGTTCTATCAGCAACTTGGGACATTAGTTTAAGTTATTTCTAGACATAGTGTCTCAAATTCATTATAACTGGTAGCAAACACGGTTTTATTGTGAGTTGATAAAAAACACATACACTTTGCTTTGTTTGTACACATGCACAAATTAAAGTTAGTCAATCAAAATAGTTTGTATAACATTATTATTATGAGGATAGTTGGCTAAGATATTTGTATTATATTATAAACACGAATGTGTCAAAATGTGTACTGCCTTTGATTGTTTAAATTTTGGACTTATTTTTTTATAGTCTAATTTGTAGGTACTTATATATTGTAATATTTAGCAATACTCATTTAAAATCAAACAAAACCTAGTTAAGTCTGAATAACAGTTTAATTTTTCCCCCCTTTGGATCTTTACTCAATATGATTTGGATCTGTTTTGCTGTTGTGTGTAGTTTCATGTGTTTTTAATTAATGTCATTTCTCCTTTATGTATACATGTTTATTAAATTTGATATGTTAGCCTTCATTACAGTAATGTTAAATATAAATCTTGAATGCAACCTTACAAAAATTTACATTTTCTGTATCTTAAAAGTGTGTTAACATTATAATAATAGTGACACAAAAATGTAGTTTGTGCAAACATACAGTAGGTAAACCATAGAATGCTGTGCATTGTTGAATCCACATGATGTGAAGGTAGCAGAAAAAACATCACAAAATCTATTTGTATTTCAAGTGCATTTGTATTTTTATATAATAAACGTTGTTTTTTATAGTTATGTGTTGATTTCCTTTTTGATTTCATTTGCATAACTGTATAGTGTACCTACAGTAGACTCCCTCGTAACCGGGCAAGATTTGTTCTCGTGAGAAAGATTTGAGACCAGTGATCACGTGTCTAAATACAATGCTCTCCTAAATTTAAGTAAAATATGCATTTAAACGGTCCGTTTTAACGAGTTTTTAGGGACGTCGGTGTAAAAACTTGCCAATCAAATAAGTGATTTCTTCATAATAATTGTAATATTAAAATCACTTTTAAGGTAACACAAGCTTTTTATTATCTTATTTAAATTCAACTAACTCATGTTTGTTTTCAAGAGTAACAATATTAATGAACATATGAATTATAACATATGTGACTTGATTAAATGTACTAAGCAAGTAGAAAGAATATTAACTTATTATAACTTTAAAGAATATTTTCTAACACACTCCCCCCTTTGCGAAGGTGTTCGCAAACTAATTTCTTTTTTTTTAAAGGGAAATAACTACATGTTCCATTTCTCATACTCTGTATTCGTCAGTAAAAAATTAATTCTCCTAGCTTTGATCTTGGCAAATTCTTTAATTGCTGAGTCAGTATCAATCTGGTTCAGAACAGGTGTACATATACAAATACAACTAAAAGAGTGCAATACAATACAATGTAATGCTCTGCTCTAGGAGGGGAGAGTTATCAGAAGTAGAAGGGAGGGGGAAGTTTCTTGTTGTGACAAGTGGCGCTTGCTTATCTCGAGCATAAGTCATGAAATGAAACCCAAAGGCGCCGCGCTGTACGCTGCCGAGTGTCAGCTCAGTACAAATCGAAACTGCATATGGCATTAAGTCCTTGAGTTGTAGTGCTGTACAAATATACACATTTTCAAGTGCTGTTGGTACAAACAGAATAAATGCCTTTATTGTGGTGCTTTGAATACTTGAAATCTGAGCGAAAATAAACAAAATTACGTTGTTAAATAAAAAAAAAAAAAAAATTGTTTTGTTGGCGCCACTTTTTCGTGGCGCCATTTGCGGCCGCGTATGGGTTAAACCGGTCCTGCAACGGATGGGCTTATATGATGGTGAACCGATCTGTAGGACAGAAGAGACAGCCGATCACTTACTCTTTGATTGTAACGAGCTCTCTAACGCTAGAATGATAACTCTCGGGAATCTGGCTAGAGGAAGATATCTTCCCGAGGATGAACTTATTGGGAAGCTACACAGGCATTCATTGGGCGCCTTAACAATTGTAAGGTTAACAAGAAAACAATTGTCTGGGGTGCGCAATAATTCGATTTCGGACGAAGTGCTTAAAGAAGGTCTCGACCTGCCCCTGTTAGATAAGATAAGAAAAAAAAGGCCAATATTAAAATTAAATAACTTTGAGTTACTTTAAATTTATATAGGCATTATCGAAAATTGAAATTGGTTACGTCGAAACCATCCAAACATTTGACGAAACAACCTTGGTAAGTTTGGCTAAAATATGTTCAGCCGTTATTGAGTTAAAGTGTTATAAAGATTGCATTTAAGTTGATCCCAAAGAGCTTCGCTTCACTCCGCTCAAAAAAACAACATTTACTAAATACGGTAATTATATATTCACACTGTTGGTACCCAGTTCTAAGCAAAGTATGTTTTTTTTAATCTCAATATCATTCATCATTTATTTACAGAATAGCCCAGTTAAAGGGTAAAATATTTTGCCAAATTGTCTCATATTGCATAATAGCTATGCACCATGAGATACGATTTGAAGTAGGCACTTCAAATTCATGATTAGAAACTGTGGGATTATGCCACGGCCCCCTTTAACTCCAGGCCGTGGCCTTCGAACTCGAAACGTCGCAAGTGGTGCTGTAACAGCTGTTTTGTTTGGAAGCAGCTAATGGTTTGTGTATTTACGAAAGATTGGTTACTGGACTATGACAATATTGACTCGGCATAAAAATGTACAGATATAGATTTTAATTCATACTGTTTCGGTTTTCAATTCTGTATGTTTTATTTCAATATATTAATAAATTTATGTTCATAAATTTAAATTTAAATCAATAAAGTGCGAATTAATGAGCTGATGTCACCTGTCTGCCATGTTATCTTATGGGACGTCTATCACTGAACAACACCACTTGCGATGTTGCCACAGGCCTCGGCCTGTAGTTAAAGGCGGCCGTGATTATGCACTTCAAGACCCAATTCTTTTAAAAAGTTTATAAGTCTATGAAAAGCAAACGAGGATGATGAAAGAAGAACAACTTGACAAATATCAACTATGATTCTTTTTGGTTGTCTTCTTTTCCCTTCCTGTTGTTTGTAGTGTTGTGTTGTGTTGTGTTGTTGTGTTGATATGATATGGTTTGAAGTTTTGTAGTCGAGTCGTCTTATAATATTAATTTTTTACATAACTTGTTATGAGTTAGTGTGGTTTTATAACTTTGTAGTTTCAGACTTGTAAAATAGTTTAAAATCAAATTCAAAATATTATATAATTTTTTACATTCAAAGTTCATTTCTGCACAAAATAGTTAGTCCTCAACTCAAAATTTTCAAAATGGTGAAGTACAGGAAGAAAACACAACCTTCTCAAAAACAGGTTGTCAGAGAAACGGTATGTAACTTTGATATGGCTATATACGCTTTCAAGAATGCCTTTCATAGGCCTATATTTGGAACATTTTTTTAAAATAATTTAAGATTTTAGGATAGGCTACAAGCAACATTGTTTTAAGATTGGCATTAATTTGGCCTAGCCTACTGGGTAACTTATAGATATTTTGGCTGCACTTTTACTTTACATCCTACACTCATTCTAATGAAAAATATCGATGTAGGCTATAGATTATTTCATTCGGTTAGTTAGGTTAGGTTTTAACCTCTAACTTAGGTAACTAACCAAACTTGATATATCGAAAGAAATAATCGATATATCCATTTGATTTTTCATTCGAATGAGTGTAGGACGTAAAGTAAAGTGCAGCCGATGTTTTAGGTTCAAGTTACGTTTAGCTTCTAGGTCTAAACTAATTATAGGCCTAGGCCCTAACTTAACTTACGTCTAAGTTAGACCTAGGCTAGTAGTTCCTTGTGTGAAAATGTGTAACAGTAATAGGCTAAAGGATTTTTTACATAGGGCTTAGGACTAGGAGGTCTCTGTCTAAACCTTATGATGTTTTTAAGTGTCACAATTAAGTTTAGGCATAGCTTAAGTTAAATTTTTTTAGTCAGTAACTTACCTGGATCTGGTAGGCCTAAATAACTTATTTTAGGCTAATAAATTCTGAAAATTCAGGTAACAACCAAATGAAAATATCGATTATTCGATAAATCGATTTAGGTAGCCTAGGTTATATCATTTGATTAACGTTTGGTTGGTTAGGTTAGGTTAACCTAACTAACCAAACGATATATCGAATGTAACAATCGATAACTTATATTGATCGATATTTTTATTCGGTTGTTTTTGATACAGATACGGATGTTTACCCTTTTTTCAGATATATGTAACTTAAGTTAAGTTAACTTTCGGGGATTTTCTCTCTTCAAGCCATATTACAAAGCCACTGACTACCGGACTGATCCAGGCAGTGCTGCTACCTTTGGGTGTTTTAGAGAACTATGTCCAATCTCGGGGTAACGTACGGTAGTTCAATCACCGCTGCTCTTTTGTTATTCGTCAGATTGAAATGAATGCCAATTGCGTTCGCTGTTACGGTGCCACGCCGGGGCATCGCCTGGGCCTCGCCGCCATTTGCGAGCAGCGCCTGTTGGAATGCTTGCTGCACTGAACGTGTTAATGTTGATAACCGATCTTAGTTTCATTTATTAAATATATATAAAATTCTAAACAGATCATAGCTTATTTTTGATTTTTCCATAACAAATATTTTGTATAGGCTAAACAATAGCATCGAATAAAAATTGTAACTGATAACTTAGGCTAATAAATTACAAGTTCTCTGCAATCAAAAATGCTTAACAGTGGCGGTGATAAGAACCCAAGCCCCCCCTATATAAAGTTTGTTTACCGGGCCCCCCTCTCCCAATAATCATCTTTAAGTTATCCTGGGAATTTCCACATAAGCTTGCACTTGGTATCAGCACAGAATCTCCCGAGGCATCGAATCATCGTCTTCCTAGATTGTGGCAAAATCGAGAATAAGTTTACTTCCTGCAGTCACGGAAACATTATCATCGTATACTGTGATTGCAACCAAACCCAGGACTAGGACATCTCCTTCTGTCATGTAGACAACATCATCGTCTCCCACAATCACGGCCAAATCCCTAATATGTCGGGCGCGGTGATGGAGACATATCTTTTTCTGCAATCGCGGAAAAATCAAAAACATCTGCCCCGAAAAAGAAACATCATAAACCGCCTTCTGTGATGAAATTCTTGAATATTTTTCATGATCACTGAAACATTAATAGCTAACGTCTTCCACTATCACAGCAAACTATTGCTAAACATCTCCCGGGCCGCGGGGACATCAACATTGTCACCTGTGGGGGCATGTTCTCGTCGACATCTACGATCGGCAAAAATGTGAATCATTCATTTATGTGGGTGTTATCCTCACAGACGCGTTCTGCGGTTGAAATTTTATTGCAATTGTAAAAGCTCTGCTCGAGCTCAATTTTCTAACTTAGATCTCTCTAGCTAGATCAGTGCTAGATCTCAGGGTTTTAACAAACTTTTGTTCTTAAAAAACAAACAGTAATAGCCTACTCATAGCCTATGAATTTTATTAATATAGGGCCCTTCGCCGGGTAAAATTTCCCTGGTCAAGGCTCACGGTCCCCCCCAGCTCGCTGGCCTCCCTGCATTGCAGGCCCGCTATCGCCGCCACTGACACCTACTTTTTCCCTCAAATTTGTATGCTTATATGCAACAACAACAATTAGGTTAAACTGGTAAGGTTACTTTAAGATAACTTAGGCCTATATACTTAGTAGAGTTTGGTCATTGACTATACAGTCAGACTATACCCATGTAGCACAGATGGTTGGGCCAACGTTGGCCAACTGTGGGACAGTTGGTCGATGGTTGGTTGGAGCTTCCACAACCAACCAACCGTTGTCCAACTGTATATCTCGTAGTTGGGCCAACCAATATTTACAACTGTGGACCAACATTGGTTCATTGTTAATGAAATACATTAATATGCATTGCTGGGTATCATACATCAAGCCAACCGTTGTCCAACCGTTTTTCACTCCGTTGGACCAACAAAAGATACTTTTGTTGGACCAACAATGGTCCATAGTTGAGTTTACACGACTTTCATTCTCTGGGTCTAGCTTTCACAACATAATTATAATAAAATATCTGGTTTTACAATACCTTTATCAGTTCCAAAAGTTTCCAAAAGTTTTTGGAACTGATAAAGGTATTGTAAAACCAGATATTTTATATATTACAGTTCCGGCGCTACAACAATGAATTTTAATAATTTTAATAATGCAAATATTTTTTAAATTAATATTCTTTAACTTATTTGCAACAATTTAAGGGGAAAGAGTAATTAATCATATAACAGGCAATTATAATAGCATTAACAATCTAACGGTAATTAATTAATCATTCAAATACCAGTATCCTCTCTAACTCCAAAAAAAAAAAAACTACTTATGATGCCTTAACAGATTAACAGAATCATATTATACTGTGTAGTATCAAAAATGTTTGAAGTATTGCGACCATTGCAACTGTCGGCTACTCTTTCACCACTTGAAAACTCTCTATATCAGCAATCACAGATAGCTCAGTGGTAAAGTAAGAGGCTCATAAGTCGAAGGACCCGGGTTCGAGACCCGTCTGGGCCAAAAAAATTTTGTTCTAGTTTTTTTTCAAAATTTGTTTTTATGAACTATTTAATCAATTTACTCAACTAATAATTATGCTTTTCGTACTAAATCTTTATTATTTTGTGTGAAATAAAACGGTTGGACAATGGTTGGCTGGAAAACAGTTTAAAGAGGTGACATTTCTACCGTTGGCCAACTGTGTGGCTCCACGATTTACCAACGTTGGCCCAACCATCTGTGCTACATGGGTATAGTCAATGGTTTGGTGTATCTGACTTAGCATGTTGTTTTGACTCTCTCTGCAGACAATTGAGTACGATACCATTATAACCTTAGAGATCCGGCCATGCCATAGCTAGTTCAGGTCAGACATTTGGGACTCAACAGTACTGTATCAGTGTTTGATCAAATCATCATTTTACAGTGTCAAAAATTAAATACTAACTAGCTCTCAAGTAGCCTACTTTTTGTTGTTTATCCTATTAGAAAGTTTCAAAAACTATTAAGAACTTAATTATATTTTTATTATTTTTGCAGGTTCAAGAGTTTATTTTGGAAAATCCTAACATCTCAGTTGGGAAGTCAATAGAATTCATGAAGAAGCTGATGGTGGTTTCAGTATCTTCTATAGCATATCTTCGAGGCATATTTCCAGCAAGTGCTTTCGCTGAAAAGAGATTAGCTGGGCAACCAGTCCATGTGTTGAAAGGGACTGAAGAAGCCCCAGAAGTCAAGACTTTGATTGAATATATAAGGGGGAGTTTTGACCTTGTGCATTCACAGCATGTACGTTTAAATATAGACCCTCTCTAGTCTCTACCTGTAAAATAAATGTCCTAATATTAATAGGCCCACTGGTCAATGTTTTGCATTACAAAAAGTATTCAATTCAATTCAATATTTCTTTATTCATTAAAGCACTCAAGTACATGAATAGTGTCATTCTCATCATAATTTGTTTAAGTTAATAAATTTATAGCCAGTGTTTTCTTCCAAGTGTTTTAAGTGTGAACTTTTGTGTGGATATAGAATCAAGTCATTAGATGGATCAGATAACCTATAGTCTACAGCATAAGGGGTTGAGTATGCACTAAAAGTGTCTTCTTATTTCTTATTATCTTTATTATCTTATTTTGACTTTTGATTGTTGTTGTTAATGCACTGGAGAGGTTTGAAAACACCCTAGAAATAAATCAAAGCCTAAGGGGGTAACTATCTTTTTAGGTACTCACCATTCCTACCTGCGCTGGAGCATAATAATCTTAGAAATGACACCTCAAACGAAATAATCAATTTAGTAGGACGGGTGAAAAAGGGTGTGTTACAAAGACCCTGATATCTCAGATTATGATGATACTTTTTTAAGTAGCGTAGTATTTTCTATATAATGAATGAAATACATTATTTCAATTTGCTACATATTTTAATGCTATTCTAATTCATTTCTGAAAATGTCCATGTCTCACCATTTAGAAAATATAATATAGTAGGTAAATAATGATAATGTATCAATCTCAAATTTATACATAGAGACATCAAGATACATCATGGCTAACTGTGTTTAAATATTTGACATACATTTCAAAATATAACTGGAATAAATATTGTAATATTCATTATACAAAAACATAATTTTAAATTTCTTTATTTTGTATATTTGATCCTAAATCATACTGAACTCAAGTTTTGTATTGTTGCAGTTAAAGAAATTCATTTTTTTGATCCAAAAGGAATTGGTTACACTTGAAACGTATACATTCTCCTTTGTTTACAACCACGACACAATTGCTTGTGATGTCCTTGGTGAAGTCGATGGCAAAGAAGTGTAAGTTTGTTGTTTTATTGAGTTGATTATGTTGATTATTTATTGTGTTATTGTGTTGACATAGCTTTTATGATATGTGATGTCCGTGCAGTGCTCCAGATTAGAATAGGACCGCAGCCTCTCTCGGCTTGTCGTAAAAGGCGACTAACAGGGGGTGGGAGATCCTTCTCTTTATGCTCCCAACTTTCTCTGAGGCAAAGTTTGCTTCTACCTTTGGCTTGTACCTCATCATTGGCTCATTGGCTTGAATCTTTCATCTTTCCTTTTTACACTGCTTTTTTTCAACCCCGGTTCGGGTGTTTTCCTTTCTTCTTTTTCGACCTGCGTGCACTATTGAGCCTTGGGAGTGCCCTTTCTGTGCAAAAGGGCCATTAGCTGGCCGTAAGAAAGTGATAGCATACTTAAAACTGAGAAACACGGACAACTTAGATCATTGAGAACATCGGAAGATGTTCAGTTGGTCAGGGCAGAGGTAGAGCAATTGCCAACCTTAATCTTTATTAATTCTTGGGCCATCATAATTTGGAATGGATGAAAACACAATGATAATTTTATAATTCTTCTCAAAACTACAATCCAACATTCCTAATGCAATAGCATGCCCTCAAATGGAATATCATGGGTAACTGCTCAACCGCTGCTCTAACATCAATTCCTCGTTTGTAATTCTATGGTTTAAGAGTGCCACCACCTTTGTTCAACTTTTCAACCCATGATCGTGTTGTGTTCACACTAGGAACAACATCATTGTTCAGAATAAAAAAACCGCTGGCAAATAGAAATACGCATACACCACACAGCATAACATTCAATGCTCTCACTGTACGGTTCAAACCATGGAATGACTGAAATGGTAACTGCAATGAGTGGCCAATGACAACAGGACCAATATTGTCCACCGTCTAATGTGAACATCAATATTTATTATAGTAACTAATCATATGTATCAAATTAAACCCTAAACTGGTTTAAAAACTGTTGGTATTGTTAAGTTTTAAATTAAAAATTAGCAGCTTAAAATACAACTTTTGTGTAGTTTAAACATGCTCAAATGACTAGTGTAGTCGTTTGCCAGATTGAGGGTTAAAATGTGTTATCATACATCGATGTTACTTTTCAGCATTCATGAGCAGAACCTTGGGTTGCCTGATGAGATTGAGAAATCAGTTCGACAACTTGTGCGATGTATCTTGACTCATGCTGTGACGCTACATCCTCTTCCAACGAACTTCAGTCTCACAGTAAAGCTGCAAGTTGATGACGACAGTAAGTTCTGTTTAACCGTTTACTTTTCCATCTTTTGCCATGAATCTCAAGGAAGCCAGTTTGATCCCTATACAAGTTATAGACAAACTTAAGTTAAGTTTCAAAACTGATAAGCCCAGTCCTTGATCTAGAGTTGGGAAATACTGTTACTTTGCAAATACTGTTGCTTTGCAATAATCAGGAACCTTCCTTAGCTTTTTGGTAATAGGTGAAATAATAATATTATGTTCACCTATTATTCCCTCAATAATTAATATGCTTCAGTACGGTAGCTGTTAATTAGAAGAAATTACCAACATTATTTCAAAATTCATGTTTTCGGCCCCTGGACTATATTGTTAAGACAATAATAGGTTTTTTACATACCTCAGTCAAATAGTCCAAAAATGGTATTGCTCAACAGCTTACATGTTTCGTTGCGAAGACAACATTATCAAAGCTTGCAACTCGTCAAAAACACATTTAAAACACAAACACGAACACAGAAGACATTAATACGGTACGAATACACAATTGACATTTAGATAGCGCTATCATAATACTGATTTGGTCCGGCGCGGCGCGGGGCTGGTAGCAGACTGGAGGTCACGTCACGTCGTCTCCTCTACTGTTATCACTGATGTTATCAGATCTTCGATCAGCTGTTCCTGAGTTTAATATTGTATTAAAAATCGAGTGAGACTGGAACTGTAATTTTTCGTTAAGGATGTGGTCCTTACACTGTTCGTCATTATAAATTTTATAAATCTCGAACTCCTCCAAGGTGTCAAGTTTGCTACCTTTCCCACAGACATGTAGAATTTTTAAACCATCGTCAATGCTACTCATTGAGTGATTTGAATCAACCAGGTGTTGTGCGAAGGCTGATTTTTGTTTGACCATTTTTGGAGTTGGCCTATGTTCTCTGTAGCGGGTTTCAAATGCCCGACCCGTCTGGAAAAATTACAGTTCCAGTCTCACTTGATTTTTAATACAATATTAAACTCAGGAACAGCTGATCGAAGATCTGATAACATCAGTGATAACAGTAGAGGAGACGACGTGACGTGACCTCTAGTCTGCTACCAGCCCCGCGCCGCGCCGGACCAAATCAGTATTATTATAGCGCTATCTAAATGTCAATTGTGTATTCGTACCGTATTAATGTCTTCTGTGTTCGTGTTCGTGTTTTAAATGTGTTTTTGACGAGTTGCAAGCTTTGATAATGTTGTCTTCGCAACGAAACATGTAAGCTGTTGAGCAATACCATTTTTGGACTATTTGACTGAGGTATGTAAAAAACCTATTATTGTCTTAACATTATTTCACTCACTTGTTCTAACAGATTTAGCTTACCGGTACGTCACAAACTTAATATGCTATGTCGTCTTTTGTAATGTATTACCAAGGTACTATATTATTTTGTGACTCACTGCTAATAGCAAGACTCAATCAGCAGAATAATATTTAATTCGCTCGTTTAAACAGTTCAGACAAAATGTTGAAAATAATAGGGTATTCAAGTAATTTATTTCCAAGGTAATATAGGTTAACTAGCATCTCCCGTTCCTCATCAGTAACTGGCGAGAACCTCTTGTGTGAAGGTGTGGGGGATTAATGAGAGCCCCTCACGCCAATTTAAGAAAATCTTTAAATTTATTTTATAATTTTTTAGTTGGAAAAATTAACTTTTCAATGATAAAATAATTTCTAAATATAAAATTATTAACTTAAATTTTTTACTATAAAATTAATTTTAACTAACATTTTTTTATTATAAAATTTAACTGTCATAACCTAACCTAACCAACCAAACTTGCTGATAATATAAAAAAGATATAAGTTAAGATACAAATCGAATGAAGGTTTACTTATAATTTTTTATTACTATATAAAAATAAATTTTAATTTTTTTTATTAAAAAAATGTAACTGTCATAACCTAACCAAACTTGCTGATAATAAAAAAAAATATAAAATAAAAATCGAATGAATGTTTACTAATAAAAAAAAAAATAGTTCTTAAACAAATAAAGTTAAAAGTAAAAAATAAGCATAATCTTGGACAAAAAGTTAGTGTCGCCGGCGAGATCCAAACCTGAGTCCCTTCGATTACCAGTCTGAGACGCTATCAACTACGCCACGAACACCGATGGAATCTATGCGTCTTGTTACGGTAATGGTGTTCCCTCAAGAGTAGAGTTACGTCACGCCCCCCACCCCTTCGCACAAGATGTTCTTGCCAGTTACTGATGAGGAACGGGAGATGCTATAATATAGGTTACACTTTGGAACAGTAAAATTTATCGTATTGTGTTAAATTACACCACCTCTAATCATTTGGTTTGTTAAAAAATCAAATGACCCTGATCAGTAGAAAAGCTTAATGTTATTTTTTGTACATCATACATTCTTCATTCTTGCTGTATCATCAGCCTGCACTCTAGTATCCCCCGTACCAATTAGTAGATGAGGTTCGATACAACATACCATAAACTGACAAGAAAAACGGAATCCAAAACATTTTTGTATATTCTGTAAGAAATTTATATAACAGGTTTTAGTTTTATGAAATTTCAGTAGAAAGGTAGGCCTATAGAGCTATAATTAGAGCCTATAGAGCCTAAATAGAGCTTATAGGATTAAATAGTCAGAGAAATATAGGATATGACCTTAACAAAATTGCAAGAAAACGTTTTATGGTTTTATTTTGTAGTGTTGGGTTTGCAGAATGACATACTAAAAGTTGCCAAAAATTGGTGCACGAGAAAACCACTACAGTAGACCCCCTCTTAACCGACCTCGTATTAACCGATAACCGGATTATCCGCCTTCGATCGTGAAATAATACAGTTTGTTTTAACCGACCTTGCTTTGAGAGCAGTTCGGTTTTACCGCCGCTTTCTAGGAATCTCGGCATTTCCGCTCCCACGCTGGGCGATGAGAACTGAACCATACACTTATGTCCACAGGATATGACTAAGAATAAGTTATTTTGTGTTGATCACAAAAAATATAGCATCGCCTATTGTCAGTTTGTCATCATCGTTCGTTATCGTAGCTCGAGCACATTTGATCTGATATGTTATCTGTGTTTGCAAATTTATAACATCATAAAGTGCGTTACGATTTTGAGAACTGATTATCTTATCGCTGGAGTAAACACACAACGCAACTTGTAGGGAGGGCAGGGAAGAGGGGTTAACAACTCCAAGGTCAAGCTAGTTTTTGTGCCTCGCTCCAGCCTACAGTGAGAGGTTGTAAATAAACATCCTATCCCTTGTAACAAAATGGTTGCTTGTATCTTTAATTTCGACAAAAGGTTCTGTACTGTATTACGATGGATTTAGAAAGCATCAATTAATACATTACAGTACTAAAGTTATTAAGATAGGAATTTTATTGACTGTTGCCTAGTATTATAATATATTCCACTGAAAGTAGGCCTATTAGACTTAACCGTGTAATGTGTTTATTTGTGACTTTTCTATCAATACTAAAAATGAGATAAGAGTAGTTTATTTTATAACTAATGCAAGAATGACTTCAAAATATTGATTATATAATTCCAAATGAATAGCAATTCATTATGTTGTGATTTTAGGGATTGCCCATTTTAACCGACCTTTTGAGTTATCCGACGTAGGTCCGGTCCCATTAGGGTCGGTTAAGAGGGGGTCTACTGTAAAATCACAATTTAAAATGGTAACTTTTCCCAACATTGGAAAAATGTTGAAAAAAGATACCACATGCATTTTGTATGAACATTTTTTGAGAAACTGACTCAGGAGCACCGGCGATATTTATTGGGTCGTTAGTACTTCATTTTGATAGGTAACGCGTTTTTGGCCGCCATATTGGACATAGATAGTTTTTTTTAAAATGTGATGATGGTGTTGTGACACATCATTCCAAACTAAATTTTTACACTGATTTCAATGCCGAAACCCGTTTTTAAATATATTTTTTTCATTTAGAAGATATATTGAAACAAAAACATTCCCCCTTACATTTCGTATGGTTATTTCATAGTTTGATAATTTTTTTAAATTATTTATCATATCTCCAGTCCTTATTAAGGCTTGCAGTTCGTTCTAGCCTTAAAATATTCAGTAATGTAAGGGCTTCCATTTGAACTCTTGATCATTAAAATCAGACAGACCAGCTACGAACCTCAGAACAATATCAAGTTTACTATTTAGAAATATATTTTTACTAAAAGATAATTCGGGTTGTTAATACGTCACCAAGTTCTTTCTGGTCTTAAATTACTCTGTAAATGTTTTATTTCTTTAATTTTATTAATCACCAAATAAAATATTAAAAATTTCAAATGAGTCATAAATCTTCATTTAACAGTAAATTATTTCTTTTTAGAAATTTGTCTTTGGTTAAGGACATATATCCCAAACCCTAATAACTCCCAATAAGTAATCCATAGCTAAAATAAAAGTCAATAATGTTACGAATTATTTAAGACTATAAAGAGTTTTGGGAGTGATTTAGAATTGGGGATATACGTCCTTAACTAAAGACAAATTTCAAAATAAATACATTTTAATGTTAAATTAAGATCCATGACTCATTTTAAAATTGTCAGATTTTGTTTAATGATTAATAAAATCAAAGCCAAACATTTACTGAGTAATTTGAGAACAGAAAGAACTTGGTAACGTATTAACAACCCGAGTTATAAATCTTTTAATAATAATATATTTCTAAAAAGTTAAAATTGATATTGTTCTGAAGTTTGTAGCTGGTCTTTGACTCGTCTGATTTTAATGCTCAAGAGCTCAAATGGAGCTGTGTAAAAAAACACGCAATAGGCATCCAGCATGGGTCCGTTCAGGTAGATTCCTGGAACACAACTCCCGTGTCTTGTGGTCTTTCCTACCCCCTCCCCTAGTTTTCCATATCTCGGCGGATTAACCGGTATGAAGCGAATCAGCTGTGACGTGAGCTCCCTCAACCCCTTTGAATGGTTGCCATTTCAATTAAAAGTACTGTATTAAAGTATCAATGCAAGAAAGTATGCGTAAGATTGCTAATACTGAACTGATTTTTATATTTTTTCTTAAAACACACAACTCATGTTTCAGCTCCAGAAGAAATACTTCCAAACTTTCTCCAATTAGCAGCCGAAGACGAAATAAAATTCCCCGGAGAGGTGGAAACTCTGAAGCTGGGCAAAGTAGAAACCAAATATATGACTTTTGGTCTTGTGTCAAAATCAACTTTGCAAGAGGTAATGTTTTTATTTTCCCTTAAATGCCAATTCTAATCCTCAATGTTTATTAAGTCATGCCTCGCATTTGAAATACCATGTCCAAATTTTAGATTGGTATTTACAAACTACTCGAAAGGGTCTTCTTTGAAGTCCAGTTAATTTCTTGCTGGTCAGCAAACAGTTTCAACTTGTTTGAGGTTAGTAAAAAAATTCCCATTAACCTACAATCCAAGTGCCTTTAACATACTGAGTAGCCTATTCAACATGTTTGACAAAACTCACATACACAACACAATACCCCCGCCGCCAACAAAACACATAATTTGATAGCACTCCTACTATATGTTTCATAATCCTCAACAAATGATTATGTTGTAACAGGGGCCTTACCAAGAAGCAGGAGTGAACCAAGAAGAGAATTTGATGCCTCAGGATGACTTAGAAGATGAGGTGATGCCGTCCCAAGAGGAGACTTTGCATACTTCTATAACAAAAATTAACTTGATCGATGGTAAGAATCCTTTATCTTGCTGTACTGATCTATAGCATCTTCACTATGCTTATCTGGAAACTGTCCCCACTGATGCATTCATGACAACCCTGTCAAGCCGACCTGGAAACCGGGAATTGTACATGAATTTTGTAAATTACCTGCACATTTAAATGTTTAAATCGTAGCCGAAAAATCTGTCTAAAATCCCAGATTTTTTTTGTTTTACATAGTAGTAGAAAATTGTGATTGCTGAGAAACTACGAACTAGGATGTTGCCGCGATTGCAAAATTCTATCATGGCCATTTCCGCTATCAGGGGAAATCACAACAAATTTCACCCCAATCGCAAAAATAGTCATGGGTGTGGAGATAATTGCTGGAGATACAAGAAATCATCACATGTGTTGCAGTGATGGGAGAAACCTTCACGGATTTCACCGTAATCGTGTGATACCCTTACAACATTACTGTTATTCTTCTGGCATTTTAGCGATAGTAGCAAGTAATGATCATGGCTGTTGTAGCGATCTCGTGAAATCATCAATAATTTTGCCGTTATTGCAAGAGGATCTCAGATGTGGCTGCAATTGATAAAAATAATCCCCGGAGACGATTGTGGATAATGCCTTGATCGCGCAAAATCATCAAAAGTGTTCACAAATCACGGTATATTATCACAGGTATTACCCCGATCATAAGGAATGATCAAAAGGTTTGGCATGATCACAGGGAAGATAAATGGATGTTGCCACGATCACCACAGATTATACTGCAATGATCACAGAATTGCTGCGATCGTGGGAAATTATCCAAAAATTTGGCCGCGATCAAAAGATATGATCACTGATGTGGCTGCGATCTCATGAAATTATCACGGAATTCGTAGAAGGGGTTTTAATTTATTAGTAGGTATAATAAAGAATTTTGCTTTTTTGAGCAGCAAGTTTTGTCTTGAAAATTTGGAATTTTGTACCTGGTAAACCTGGAATTGTCCTTTTGGTAGAATTTGATTTTAATGGCCCGTTTGTACACCCTGCATGAGTTCAACGATACAAAAGGGACCTCCACAAAGATTGCTATTAAACTGGTTAATGTACAGGACATGAAAACAGAATAACAAAAGATGAGGTTGAAAATCAAATTTTAGACACTAGTGCAATCTGTGACATACAATGACATACAGGCTGATTCAACTACGTGCTTTTTTAATAAAAAAAAAATTGGTGACAGCTTGTTCACATTGATGGGATGTCTACTTCAGTATCTAAAAATCATTACCAAACAACAGTAGCTTAGAGCCACCAACTAACCTTTTCCCTAGGGATAACTAGATCGTCAACACCAGCTCATTGACATTGTCAGGATTTCAAAATGGGGGGGTCAACCGACCAGGCCCAGGTAGAAAGGGGGTTTCGGGAAAATGTTTGAAAATATAGGCCCGAAAACGGTCTTTTTTAGCTCTCCTGGCATTGAAAATAATCAACCCCAACGTCAATACAGTATTTTATAATTAGTAATTATTATTATATAACTAGCTGTTACCCACGGGCCTCACCCCGTTTGACTTCATAAGTAATAAAACTATTGATTGGTAAGTTAAGCTGAAATAAAACAGAATTCAGCAATACAAACAAATAATCACACCAGTTTTTAATAAGGATTGAAAAAATAACATACTAATAAGAACAGCTGAGGTATTTTTAACATTAGGTATATGGAAAGTTCCCATTGGAAAGCAATTACGACCTTAAAGGGCTGCATTAAATAAGGGATAGTTTTGCACAAGGTTTCTCGTCATGACACACATTTTAAGTATATGGTTTATGGGGGTGTGACTTGTAGTTTTCTCAAAAGTTCATGGGTAATTTGGGCTTTATATATAGATTTTAAATTTAATTTAACAAAAAACTATTATATTTAGGACCGGAAGGGGGAGTCTGAACCCGACCCCCAGGACCCCCCACCTGGCCACATCACTGACTAGCTGATTACAACCAAACTCTACACTTGGCTGACGTCTTTGTACATCATTTACTGATTTTTCTTGTAACAACGTTAAACACCAAGTATTCTATCAGGGTTTTATGTAAATGTTCAAAAATCATCGGTGTATCATATTGAGCTTAGCTTTGACCTATATTTTTTTATAAACATACTAAAATTTTCTTAGTTGTGTTACTTTTACACCCTGATTTTGAGAATTTTCACATTGTAAAGATGTAGAAAACTCGACCATTCACGTTCCTATTCTAAACTTATTCCACTGTCAGCTTTATACATGACTTTACCTTTAGTTACTTTCTACTTACTAACTTATCCACCCCTAGACATTATAATAGTTCCAAATAATATCGTTTGCAGAGAGCAAGGCAGTTGAGAAACGGCCAAACACTCCAAACCCGTTAGTAAATAACCTTCCAGACCCAATGGAGTTCAAACCCAGCCAGAGCCCTGACTTCATAGATTCATTTGACAAATCTGATGATTCATTCATTATCTTGCAGGTATGCAATCTTAGCAATAAGTAATGTAGTGAATCATTGAATGATCCAACAAACACATTTCAAGCATTATATTTGATCTCTTAGTGTTATCAAAATTATTTGTTTGTCACCACAAGAGTTGACTTAATTTGTGCAGTGGAAATCCAATTAGGCAAACAAAAGTTCTCTTAGTCTGCATGATTGCTGAAACGGGGTAGTTTTTAAATCTATATTTTTGTCCATAAATCACTTTATTTCAATCATTTTACTTTGGTATGGGTTTGATTCCCTACACACTCACAACATGTGGGTTTGGATCACTTTCCCTAAAAGGATTTAATTACTTCTTACTGCAGTTCCTTGAATGTGATGCCACCAGTGTAGACATCAAGAAAAAAGGGTAGAGTTGTGGGTTTTAAATAAGTTACAGGGATGCCAATTTTTATATTTCAGAAATGTTTAAACTTAGTGGGTTTGAATAAATGGATACATAACAGAATACATTTTACATATAAATTTATTACTTACATATAAGTGTAAGTATTTTTACATATTAAGTAGTCAATCTTCAAAGAAATTTTGAAAATTCAACAATTATAAATATTAAATTTTCTGAAAAAGCTTTTGTTGCTTTTTTTCATACCCCATGTCTTTATTGACTGCCGAGTTACACAGACTGTCAAGTTTTTTTAAATTAAATTATGTAATTATTTTTTTCAGGATTATCAAGAAGTTACTACTGATTATGAAGATGAGACTACAAAGAATAAAAGGACATTAAATGAGGTAATTAATAATCTCAGAAGAATAATCTCATGGGGAATAAATCTGGAAACACAGCTAATAACTTATTATGTGTATTTCTCATCAGACAAGATTTTTAAATAAATACCCCCGCCGCAGCAAACCTGCAGACTAAGCGAATTTCCATTTGCCTGATTGGATTTACACTAAAATGTCTCCTTAAAAATATCACATTCCTTATTTAAATAGAATCAGTTTAACACATACTTAGGTTTGCTGCAACAGGGAGGGTAAAAGTGTTTTTTTATGTAAAATGTTAATAGTTAGTAAGAAATAAAAACATTTTCCAAATTTGGGCAAAATATGTTAATAAACAAGCAAACTACAGTTTACTTATTCTCCATAAGAATAACATGGGAATTTTAAATTTACAATTTTTTGGAATTTTCTCCGTAACCATTAGGTGCATTATAGCGCTTCAATATACTAAATTATTTGTTTTTTTTAAGCTCTACAAAATAGTTTGGAAAGAAATTGCAAAATTTTATGTATTTTGATTCAAAAATGGGAAAAACCCATTTTTACCCCATAAAACCCCCCATAAAACCCCCCATAAACCCCCGTTCCCATGGTCCGATCATGCTAGTTCGTGAGCTCGTTCGAATAAACGTAGGTTTACACGTTTGTACCAAATTTCATCAAAATCGGATCGTTTTTGCTCGAGTTATCGCGCTAACGGACACATATATAAATATATATAGATATAAATATATATATATATAATAAATATTTAAGTAAATAAGTACAACTGAGCACCCTGTATATTATATTTTATAAAAAGAAGTGACATGTTTCGGACATTAGTCCATTTTCAAACTTCAAAATACATTAAACACTTAACTGTTGTTTGAAGTTAATGTATTTTGAAGTTTGAAAATGGACTAATGTCCGAAACATGTCACTTCTTTTTATAAAATATAATATACAGGGTGCTCAGTTGTACTTATTTACTTAAATATTGAATATATCAGCAGCCCTATTAAGTGAACACCTAACTTAATATATATATATATATATATAAATATATATATATATATATATATATATATATATATATGAATTTGAACGGATGGTGTTTTTGGCTACTAGGGACCTCAAAACAAACCAAAAAAAATCGGTCCTGGGTCCAGGTCTTACCATGAGTACTACGGTAATAGCTTATTCCCTATATGGGAAATTCGCTAAAAAAAGTAAATAGCCTACAGTACAAATTATTGGTAAAGTTCCTCGTAGAACCCGTAGTAAATAACAATTTCAAGTACAAAACTTTACGATCACTATATTTTGAATATAGCATGCTGGGCTCAGAAATCCTGTCCACTTTTAGGGAGTCCCAAACTAAACATCATTATAATGCCAGAAATAAAAATACTATCAAACCTGTAGCTCACACAATTATTTAGTTGTCATTTCACTACAATACATTGGTCCAAAAATCACAAAAAATTACTAAGAAGATTAATTACTCTTGACAATCCTTCAAGGTTTAGACTTTCCCTAAAAAAATGGCTGAAGCCTAAATATTTTTTTAGCAGTGAAGAAACCATGAACATCAGACAAGAGTCAGTTTTCAATGTTGTTAAATTTTCCCACACTGGAAAATTTACGACTACACCTCTGAGATAACGCAAATACTACTCAATTATAATAATTCATCTACCGACACAGGTTTTTTTGAATATGTACCCTCATATGAGTGATAATAACAGTTTAAAAGTGTGACTTAATTTACAAAGCAGATTTTTTACTAATGTTAGGGATGTTGGAAGATTGGATTACCAGGGAGGATTATTGGGGTTCCCATTGCCATGTCACACTTTTAGTTAAAGCTCCTAAACCCAAGACAAAATTCGTTTAGTATAGAGATTTCAAGAACATGAATGAGGCACATTTTATGTTAGACATACAGCAAATACCGTGGCACACCATCAAAAATCTTGACTCTGTTGATTTAATGGTCTGTGAGCTTAATAGTACCATAAATGATCTCCTTGATAAACATTTAAACATGCACCTATAATTACAAAACGTTTAACAAAACTGCAACCTGTACCATGGGTGACGCCTGAAATACACTCTTTGATGGCCAGACGCGACTGTCTTTATCGGAGAGCAAGACGATCCCAAGATCAAATTGAATTTGATGAATATCGCCGTCTACGTAATAGAGTCAAACAACTGCTGAGAAACTCAAAATTAAGAAACATTCACAAGCTTTTTGGAGATAAAAATCAGTCTTCCAGAGTTTTATGGCGCAATGTAAAAAGTCTTGGGCTTGGGAAGCAAACTGATTCACAACCAGTTAATATATCTCTTAACGAATTGAATATCTTTTTTTCTTCGTATAGTCAAAATATCAACCAACAACCAGATAATAACTAAGTTAATGAGTTGGTTAACTCATTGGACCAAGTGTTGGAATATCCAATGTTTTCTTTTAAACCTGTTATACAATCTGATGTTTTAAAGGCTATTCGCCGGATTCGTAGCAATGCTGTCGGATCTGACGGTATACCAATACGATTCATCAAATATATGCTTTTCGCCATTCTTCCAACTATTGCTCATATTTTCAATACGTCTTTGAGACAAAGACCATTTCCTTCATCTTGGAAGTCTGCCCTCATTCGCCCATTAAATAAGATCGCAGCACCATCATCCTGTCAGGACTTCAGGCCGATCAGTAATTTGCCCGCTCTATCTAAAGGCCTAGAAAGAATCGTACAATGTCAAATTACTCACTTTTTGACTGAAAATAACATCCTCTCTCACTATCAATCTGGTTTTCGCAAAGGTCACAGTATAGAAACAGCACTTCTTCGAGTTACAGATGACATTAGACTCTCAATGGAACGTCAACAGGGTACGATTCTTACCTTATTTGATTTTTCTAAAGCATTCAATTGTGTAAATCACAGACTATTATTGCAAAAATTAAGGGCCATAGGATTTTCTGATAGTGTTCTTGAATGGTTAAGATCACATCTGTCAGATAGGCGGCAGTGTATTCAGGTTGATGACTTGAGATCAGACTGGGAGATAGTTTCATATGGTGTGCCTCAAGGGTCAATCCTTGGGCCTTTACTTTTTGTACTGTACATCAATGACATTGGCACAACTCTCACTCACTGTAAATACCACATTTACGCTGACGACCTACAAATTTACTCTCACTTCAACGCCGATGACATTAACTATTGTGTTTCAAACATTAACGAAGACATTGGACGAATCATTGAATGGACCAATAAACATGGACTTAAAATCAATCATGACAAAACCAAACCCATCATAATCTGCCATCAACGACTGCAAGGCTCAATTGACTTTCATGCTACAAATCCAATCACTGTTAACGGAACTGAACTACCATACTGTGATAAAGTGAAAAACTTGGGACTGACTCTCAACACTACACTCACTTGGGGAGATGCAGTGATTGACATTCGTAAAAAGGTGTTCTCATCAATACATTCATTAAAGAAATTACAAACTTCCTTACCATTGCACAAAAAGCTCCACCTTGTCAAATCACTCGTATTTCCCCACTTCACTTACTGCAACTCTGTGATCAATGACATGACTGTAAGTCTTGCTGGTGTGCTGCAACGCTCGCAGAATTATTGCTCGCGATTTGCATTTGATTTAAGACGCTTTGAGCACATTACACCTTTCTACATTGAATCAAAAATATTAAAGTTGAACGATCAGAGGCTACTTAAAATCACCATGTTAGCATTTTCAATAATAAAAAAAATAGATTTCAAAAATATTTTGAAGGGGACTTTAGCTTTGTAGCCGAAGGTAGCTTGAGGAGTTCACGCACTGCATCCTTCACGTTACGCATACCTCATCATAGGAGTACATTATGACAGGGCCTTTGTTGTAACTGCCTGTCGTCTTTGGAACAAATCAAATCTTAAATCAAATCAAATCTTTTTATTGTCTTTCAGCTCTACAAAAGCAATTGACATTGTCAAATGGCATCTTATCATTAAAGCATTAAACATAGTCATAGAATAAATAACAGGAACCTTGATCTTAAATAAATTATTTAAAAACTTATATCTAAAACCTCCAAGGACAAGAACTTATCTACAGAGTAAAAACATTTTAATTTTAACCATGAATCAAGGACTGTTTTGAATTTTTTTATTGGAATCGTTACTGCAGAAGGGGGCAATTTATTAAAAAATTGTATACTAAGATATTTGTAGCTATTGTGTGTACGTAAGTCTTGTAAGTGGTAAGTTGAGATGATGGCTATTTCTTGTGTAATGTTTATGTATGTCAGATCGGATGCTATACTGGTCTATATTCTCTTTTACGTATAATAAGCAATTTAAAATGTATAAAGATGGAAGGCTTAGGAATGTTAGGATATTTAGGGCCTTAAAATCTGCTTTGCAATCTTCCCTGGGCATTGTTCCTCTAATGCACCTGACTGCTTTCCTTTGCCATTTGAAAACGGTTTTGGCTCCTACAGAGTTACCCCATAAGAAAACACCATATTGTAGGTGAGAATGGAAAAATGCGTAATAACAATTTAGAATAATTTGTTCACTTACATTGTTCTTTAATTTGTTAAATAAAAATACAG